GGAAGGAAGAAAGAAAGAAAGAAAGAAAGAAAGAAAGAAAGAAAGAAAGAAAGAAAGAAAGAAAGAAAGAAAGAAAGAAAGACAGGTAATGCTTCTCGAGTAAACAGATGAGCACTTTGCATACTCAGTGTTCCCTAGGACCGTTATTTATGGCCTGCCCTTGGCCTTGGCTCTTCTTAAACACCGTTGGGAGAGGTTTGCTAGGTAATGATGGGCCCTGGGTGTGCAGAAGCTGTCATGCATGGTATCTTCGTTCCATCCTCCATCCACAGCAGACAGCAGCATCTTTCCCCTCACCACCTCTGGACCAGGCCGCCAGACCCCTCTCCACAAACTTGACCCCCCTCCTCTCCTCATGGCTCCTTACTTGTCAGTCATATCCCCAAACTTCTTCTCCATGAGCTGATTATGTAGGACATCTTCACTCATCTCTTCAGCATCTGGAAGCACAAAAGAACAAGATTCAGAAAGACATTTGGATTCGGGGTGGGGGGAGCAGCAAGAGAGGCCAGGGAGAACCTCACAGTCATGGAGATGCTGCCCAGGGCAGCCTGAAGAGACCATGTTTCTGGTGTAGAGTGTAGGGTGTAGAGCACAGAGCAGTTTTGTTTATCATTCCTTCTGCTAAAACTATCCCTATTTGCAATGCCTTTAGCCCCAACCTCAACCAGATCAGGTCATGTAGCCCCAAGAGGCCGTGTCACCTGCCTGGCTAATCAGAGCAGTCTATCTTTGCTATGGTGGTTGGTTCAGAATTCAGACAAAAGGAGATTCATTTCTGACCCCTGGAGTGGTAAAAACCAGTTGTCATTAAGTTGATCCTAACTCATGGCAATCTCTTGTGTTTCAAGGTAGAGCGGTGACCCGTGCGGCTGTCAACAGCCATGTGAGTAGAGCCCGTGAGGACGTCCTGACTGTGCGGGTATAGCACTGACCTGGGATGGGCTATCCATGGCCGTGCGGGTAGAGCACTGACCTAGGAGGTTGTTGACAGCCATGCTGTTGTGCAGGTAGGTCTCTAGAACCTTCTGAGGAACCTCTGGGTGGGTTTGAACTGCCAGCTTTTCAGTTAGTGGTTGAGTGCTGGCTCGTTGGCCCCACCCCAGGACAGATCCCAAGGGAAAGAAAGACTATATTTGGAACTAGAGTTACAAGCGGTCATTTTGCCATGACATGGGGAGAGTGGCAAGGGAACAAAACCACACAAAGATTCAGGGGAGAGCTACGGAGTGAGGTCAACTATCATTGGAGCCCTGGATCGACTCCTTCCTAAAGGTCCATGCCCCTTCCACATGCCGAGTAATGTGAGTCAACAGATTCCCCTTTTGGCTTAAGCCAGTGACACTGGGTGCCCATGACAAGGAACACCAGGGAAGGCCCAGGTGGCCCCGAATGACTGTGGCTAACTATAAAGGTGGGATTCTGGAGCTCAAAATGCAGACGTTCTGAAGAACTTGTACGTGTGTGCTCCTGGTGGTCGTGTATGACAGAGCAGACCTGCCCAGAGGGTCTCTAAGGGGGTCTCCAAGGATGTCCTTCCACACAGAAGCTGACTGCCTCCGTTTCTTCCCAGGATCAGCTCCTGGATTCCAACCACCCATCTTTCACTTAGCCCCCCAATGCTTACTCCATTGTGCTACTTGGGGCTCCTCTTTTGTGCATGTACAAGGCACATAATTTTTGTTGACTCAGAATTCATATCAAGTAAGTCTGGACAAATGAAAGCAACATGTATAAAAGACATCAATGGCTTCAGAAGCTCCCCCACGGAAGACTCATGGCTGTAGGCATTGTAGAAGAATTGATGTCTTTGAGCTGTGATGCTGGAGAAGAAATGGAATAGCCCATGGATTGCCAATAGAACAGACAGGTCTGGCTTGGAGAATATGCAGCCAGAGTGCTCCAGAGGCACAGATGACGAAGTTTTAGCTCACATACTTTAGGTGTGTTGTCTTGTGAGGAACATCATGTTTGGAAAGGCGGAGGATCAGAGAAAGAGAGGAAGGCCCTCAACCGGATGGGTCAACACCGTGACTGAAGCAGTGGCTTGGGTGTCTCAGAGGTGATAGGATGGCACAGGACAGGACATGGTTCAGCTGTGTTGTTCGTTGGGTCTCTACGGGTTGTAATCAACTCAACAGCACCTAACAATGACAACAAAGTTGGGCTTTGTTGGGTCATTTGGCCAATGAGTCTTTCAAGATTTGGTCATCAGCTCAGTTTAGCCTTAAGAGAATAGCCTCTGAGTCCTTTGGACCAATGTTCTAACGGCTAAAATTTCCCCAAGTTTCAGATTCTAAAGTACTGACGTCTGGACTGTGGGGGAAGGGCTGGGGGTGGGGAGAGGTCCACAAGGACGGGCTGGAGCGGCCGGAGGGCACCTGCTTTGTTGAGCTCTGTCATCGAGTCGTCCAGCAGCTTCTCCTGGGTCCGGGCAGCCCTCTGGGAAGAGACGGCTCTGGTTCTGTCCCACTCCCACACCCGCTGACCCTGGAACCCCTCCCCCTGGCCTCCCGCGGACCTCCAGCTTCTCTTTTTCCAGGCCTCTGAGGAGGGCCATCTGGAAGTTGTCCACCAGGACGGCAATCACCAGGCTGCGGGCAGGGCAGGTGGAGGCTTTCAGGAGGGGCTCGGAGAGGCCCTGACCCTCCCTGGGAGAGTGGGCTGAGGGCTTGGGGCCCAGGGTTCTGGAGGAGAAGGAGATGGACACAGAGTCGGGGGTTCTCACTTGAGGAAGATGAAGTACTGGATGATGATGTAAATCATGAGGATGGGAACAATGTACCAGGCGCCTAGGAGAGCGGGGTCGTCCACATGAGCACCCAGCCCACACTGCCCGCCCCCGCGGTGTGACTGAGACCCCCGGCTTCTGCCCCCAGCCCCGCTCAGGCCGTCCCGCCTTGGGCCCAGCTGTCCAGGTAGATGTAGGACCAGTCATCCAGCGTGAGCATAATGAAGAGCGTGAAGACGGTGGTGAAGATGTTCTGGAAGCGTTTGGGGTCTGAGTGACGGAACAGGGCCCGGAGCACCACAGAGAAGAGGACTGGTCGCTCAGGGCCAAACCACACTCGCATTGTTCTCCCCTGCCACGCGCCCCACGGCCCCCCATGCACCCCCAGGATACGGAGACAGGTGAACATGAGAATGAGGATAGCTGTGATGGACGGCAAGGACCCGGCCAGTGTCTCTGTCACTTCCTGGAGGTTGCGCAGGATCCTGTGGGCAGAGGGGACAAGGATGCCGACTCAGCCGGGCTGGGGAGCCAGTGGCCGTGGCCGGAGCTGCCCCTGAAGCCAAAAGGTCCCTGAATTTAGGTGACTTGGCGGAGTCTGGGCCCAGTCCAGTATAGGGCGGGCAGGAGGCAGGTCAGAGGCAGCCTGGGGGATCTGCTGCCTCCCTTCCCTGTCCCCTGAGCCATGGCCATGCTGACCTGAAGCTCCGTAGGACCTGGATGGCCCTCAGTGCCCTCAGGCTCTTGAGGACCTTGAAGATTCGGAAGATGTTTTGGTTGAAGATGCTGTGGGAGAGGGTGTGTTTCAACTGAGCCAGTGTGAAGTCCAGTGCAGACGTGAGCATGATGAAGAAGTCTGGGGCATATGGGATCTCAGCTGCCTCAGTGCTGCCAGTGCCAACAGCCCTTCCCCTGTCCCCCGAGTCCACCCTCAGCCTCCCCCGGCCTCAGCCTCCCCCAACCACAACCTCCCCCACCGCCCCACCTACCTAGCTTGTTCCAGGGGTCCGAAAAATAAGAGAAGCCCAGGGCTATAATCTTCAGCATGGCTTCCACTACGTAGATGGAGAGGAATAAGGTGTCTATGGCCGTGAAGTACCATTCTGCAGGACAGGAGGGCTTACTCAGGGCTGTCACCATCCTCTGCGCCCCCAGCCCAGTCCTCCCCTCACATTCTGAGTCCAGACACCTGGTTTGCTCAGGCTCTATCCTACGTGAATGCCTGCCTCTGTTTCCTCGTCTGTAAAATGGACTAATCACTGTTTGTCTCATAGAGTTATTGTGAGCGTTAAATGCATTTAAACAGCGTTTAGGATAGATCCTGAGATATCAAGGTCCTTTCGAGGACACTGTTGTTGTGTGGAGCCCACGCATAGCTGACCCTTCCGTGGATTTTCAGAGGCAGCACACCACACGAGAGGAGACTGCTTATCCTCTCTCACATAGCAGCCTAGGCTCTCACGCCTTTGGGATTGGAGCACAGCTTCTTAGAACTAGGCCATCAGATCAAGGTATTCTTTGCATTCAGAGCCGACTGTTTAGAGCAGACGCGCCACCTGGTGGTCACCATTGTGACCATTATCCAGTTTAGGCTCCGGCTGTTGGACCTCTGTTATCATGTACCCTCATGAGAATCGATTCACAGTGGACCCTCCAGCAGGTTTTCAGAGGCTGTCAATCACACAGGAGACTGCCCATCTTTCTCCTGCAGAGCCGCTGGTGGATTTGAACCTCGTGCCTTTAGGTTGGCAGCGCAGCTCTTTACCCACTGAGGGTTATGCCTCTCTGGTGGTTTGGATTCCCCACAGGCTCCTCAGGAGAAAGATGACAGATAATCTTCTCCTGTGTGACTTACAGTCCTGGAAGCTCAATGGGACCAGGAGTCACTTGCGACTCACCAGCAGTGAGTTCAAAAGTATTCGAGTTCCGTCACGCTGAACTTCGTCTGCTTCTCATGGGTGAGAAGCTAGTGACCTAAGCTGTGTACATCTCCCAGCGGTGGGCCAGGCCCTCAGAAGACACTCCAGCAGCATCTGTGGCTTCCTCTCCACGATGCCCCCACCACAATCCCTGGCTCTTACCACCCCGAATCTCCACTTCGGCGAAGGTCTGGGCTACCATCATGATGGTGTTGAGGGTGATGATGAGGAAGATGAAGATCTCAAAGGCCAGGGAATCAACCAGGAACAGGATCCTCTTCCGAAGCCACTGGATACAGTTGCACAAGTTTTTACACAGCAGCTGGGACAGGCCTTCCGAGCGCAGTCTTCTGTGAAGGTGCTGGTTCCGAGGCTCTGTGAGGGCCAAGGACAGGCCTGTGTGGGTGGCAGGCGCACGCCCTCCCGCCTGGCCACCCGCCCTCCTCTCTCAGTCCTGGCAGGACCCTGGTCCCCTCCATGCCAATACGCACGCTAATCAGGGAGCCTGAGCCTCTCTGGAAGGCCTCCCTTCCCACTCTGCCTGACCTCTATTGCTTGTACTGCAACTTCCATATGCCAAGTTCAGTCCTTCCCTGGAGAGGCTCTCTGCTCTCTGCTCTGACCACACCAAGCCCCTCTTCCTGCCGCACCTGCCTCAGACTCTCACTCTCTCTGTTCTCAACGCTCCTTGTTCATGAGACTCCCTGTCTCCTGAAATACTGCTGGGAGCCCAGTGCAAGAGAGTTTATGTTCCAAGTCAAGGTCTCTCCCCACTCTCACATGCCAAGTTGTCATCCAGTCAGTGTCTCGCAGTCCCTTCCCTCTGCATCACAGTGAAATGGGGACATCTGGACAGACAGTATCCACTACGACAAATGGTTTCCAAAGTGAGGACTCCCTAGAGAAGAGGGATGGTGGCGGCTCCTCCCCTGGGTTCCAGGCCCAGGAGGGCCACACGTCCATATTGGACAAGAGCAAATGTGTGAGACAAAAACGTGAATGGGAAAGACAGTGGCTGAGTGAATCACAACTTCCCAGTGTAGTGGTGGTGGTGGTTGAGTGCCCTCGAACTGGAACTGACTCGTAGCTGGCCCTGCAGTAGGTTGTCAGAGGCTATAAATCACTCAGGAGCTTGCCCGTCCTTCTCCCACAGAGCAAGTGGTAGATTCGAACCCTGGGCCTTTTTGGTTGGTGGCATCTCTTTACCACTGAGTCACCAGAGCTCCCTCCCACACAGTCTGGAGTGGTAAGTAATTCAAAGAATCAAAGATGGAATGATGAGCAGGGTGGGAGTGAATGGGCATTATCAGCAGAAGGCAGGAGGTGTTAGGATCTGGGCCTGTCAGAGGACTGAGCCAGCCAGCACTCACGCTTGTGTTTGAGAAATTGCTCCTCGGTGCGTCTGGTTGCTGTGCTGGGGGAGAAAGCGGCCAGGGGGTGGACTTTGTTGAAGGCCTGGGCAGTTTGCAGGTGATCCGGCGTATGGTGTGGGTATTTGGGCTTGCCCGAGCTCTTGAGCTGTGGTTGTTCACTCGGGAAGGAGCTTAGGGGTGCAGCGAGCCTGCTGGAGGACGGGCGTTGGCTCTGCTCGCCAAGGAGGCGCTGCTGTCTGTCCTTGCTGTCACCGCGCTGCTGCTGGGGCTCAGCGGGGCGCTGCTCTCGATGCGGGGGCGCGCTGTGGTGGACACGCTCGGCGTGGTGGGGATGCTCACGGGGGTGGGACTCGCTGGGGTGTTGCTCAGGAGGCGGATGACGGTCGGTGGGCTGGTGGGAACTGATCTCTCCGTGGTGGACAGTCCCTTCGTGGTGACGGGACCTGTGGTGATGGTGGACCCTACCGTGGTGGTGGGCCTCGGTAGGGTGACGTGGGTTCCCAGCGTGGTGGGATTCGGCGGCGTGTTCATCTTGGTAGTGCGATTTACTATGGTGAGAGCTGGCATGAGGATGGGCCTCACGCTGGTGATGGTGCCCCCCACGGTGGGCGTGGGGTCTGGAGGGAGAGTGGGTATCTCTGTGGTGAAAGAGCCTGTTACTCTCAGGGTGAGATGGGCGGTCCTCGCCGTCAGCACCAGAGGGGGGTACAGTGGAAAGGGAGGGAGGGGACTGGCCTCTGTTATGGGGGTGATGAACCCTATCGTGGGGAGGGTGGGCTCTGCTGTGATGGTGGGTTTCACCACGGTGGTGGGCAAGAGCATTAGGATGCATGTTGTGGAAACTAATAAGATGGGAGTGGTCATCATGATGGGGTGCACCTTGGTGACGGGGCCTGTGATGGTGCTGGGACGATGAACTGGGGCCTGGGACGTCGGCTTCATCTGGAGCCTTTGTGAGCGTCTCGTGTTGATCCATGATTATGCTGGGATCTCTGGGAAGAAGAGAGTTCGGAGCTTGGGCCCTTCCTGGATCTCCCTTCTCACCTAAACTGAGCTGCGGCACTGGACCGTCTAGGACCCAACGGTGCTCACAGAACTCTCCCCTCTGTGATGTCAGCAGCAGGGCCTTCCAAAGCCCAATTACCAACTGCCTCGTTCTGCGCTATAGTTGGAAGCAAAGATTACTGTATCTCACTCTCTTGTAAAATGAGGAAACTGAGTCCAAAAGAGAGGAAGCGATTGGCCTAAGGTGCTAAGAGCAGGGCAATAGCACAGCTAGGTGGAGTCGTCCAGGGACATACTGTGGGATGAACACTAAGAGGCCAAGCAGTCAAGTCTCACGTCCTCCTAGATGCCGGTGGGTCTTGGACGTAAGACCAGCTCCAGAGTGAGCAGCTCTGTGACCCCGGGCTTGTTGCCTCAAGTGCTTCCTCTGTGAAATGGGAGTAATAGCACCTACCCAACATGAGAACAATATTAAGTAAAGTCTGTAGTAAGAAAGTGTTGTTGTTGTTAGCTGCCACTGAATTGGCTCCTACTCAGAAGGAAACATTGCCCAGCCTGTACCGTGTTCACAGTTATTGTCAGGTCTGAGTCTACTGCAGTGGCCATAGTGTCTGTCTATCTCATCAAGTGCTTCCGACTCATCGGTCAGGGTGTTGGACTGTGGTGACTTGAGTGTTGCTGGTGGTGGAAGCTGTGGCTCTGATATTTTAGATAGGAGCAGGCTGACGCCTGCTGGACAGATTTTGTTAGATTAGAAAGAAAGGCCTGGTCACTTGTTCCCCAAAATTAGCCAATAAAAATCAGATGGATCCCACTAGAGCGTTACCCAACACAGCAGTAGAAGCTAGGTGGTGGGGTTGTCACTGCTGAGGGCTGTTAATTCCGAACCAACGCACAGCTGACTCTCCAGCAGGTTTCCAGAGGCAGTAAATTGAATGGTAGGAACATCAAGCCCAGACCAAGGTCAAAGGGGAGAGTAAAGGATTCAAAGAATACAACATGTCAACTTGGCTAAACCACAATAGAATGTCTCTCTGTTCCCTCCCTAAAGACTCTTGATATAAAATTTTGCAATAGCAAAGAGCTGGAAACAACCCAAGTGCCCATCAACAAACGAATGGGTAGAGAAGCTGTGGTATATTTACACAATGGAATACTACACAGCATTGAAAAACAAGCAACTCATGAAATACTATGAAAGATGGATGACTCTGGAGGACCTTATGCTGAGTGAAATATCTCAGTCACAAAAGAACAAATATTGCATAGGGCCACTGTTACAAAATGGGACTTACATTAAGGTTGAGGGAAGACAGAAAAGGAGGAGAGAAATGATGTATACTGCATTGAAACAGATGAGGGAGAGAACGGTTTAAAAGGGATCTATGAATGGGTATTCTTGTCATTACAGAAGTCCAGAGTGAAGGCTGCACAGTGGAGTGGACTTGAGGGGAGGGATTGCATAACAATGAAAGAATTTTTCTTTTTCTTTTCAAGAAGAGTAAATGGGAGGGGAGGGGTGGGCAGGGAGAAAAGTGCAACAACGTATGACTGGAAACCCTAAGTCTCTTTAAACTTTCATGAAAATTATTTTTTTTAAAAACCCAAACAAACAAAACCCTCCCCAAAACTTCGTAATGGCAACTTCCTTGTTCTCCATTTGGAGACCAAGGAACCTCACCTGGGCGAGTTCCCTTAATAAAGTACTTTAAGCTTTCTCTCCTACTCTCGTCCCTTCCTTGAGTCCTGGGCCTTACGTCCGGTGCGAAGACCTAACAAGGAGATTTCCCATCCTCCTGCAGAGCAGCTGGTGGCTTTGAACCGAATGCTTTTGGGATTACAGCACAGCTCCTTGACACTAGGCCACCAGAAGCTCCCCTTCTTTTTTTTTTTTTTAGAAGTATGTAAAACTTTATAATTAAAAAAAACCCATTATTTTCTCTGCGTTTTAGTTTTCTGAGGGGCTCGCAGCCTCTTCTTTTTGAAGGTTTTCTTTCTCTTGATGATATTTTTCACATTTCTGTTGTGTAGCCAGTCATCACGTTCAGCTTCCCATTGAAGCTGTTTGAGACTTGCATTATCTTTGTTAGCCATGGCGTTCATGCCAATGTAATCAAACTTGGATCCCATATTTTCATCCAATAGGTGTCCAAACTCTTCAGCAGATACAAACAGGTCTTAGTAGGCACCCAAAATATCACTTCAGGCAGCACTGGAAGAACTTGGTCCCCTTACTGTGGCGAAGCTGATTCTCCACTCACAGGAGCCGGAAGGGCCTTTCCCCTGTCTTCCCACCCACCTAGGTCTTAACAGTGTCCTGTACTTGTCCTAGGCTAGTGAAATACTGAGAGTTGTTTTCTTTCTGGACCAAACAGTGCTCAGGCCTTGGCCTCTTGGCACAGCTTGGGGATGTGTCCTGGGCATGTGTTTGTTCTTTCAGCTCCACCAGAGGCCTGAGGATGCCCGGAGAGATGAGGCTGGGGGGTGATACCCACTGCTGAGGAAAGTCTTTGGGTTATTTTGGCAAGATAGGCCTGCTGTCTTTCTGGATGTGTGAGAAAAGGTGGACTGTGAGATATTTTGACAACGCCCATGGCCAGTAAGTGGAGAGAGATTATTCTGTGGATGTGTAACTCAAGATACGTAGTGTTGTCCCGTTACAACTTCTCCGGCGGCGTAGTCCGTGGGCAGCACCTCTCTCTCTCTGGTGGTTCAAGGGCAATCAGCGGCTCCGAGGGGGAAAATAAACCATCTCCTCCAAAACCCTGCTGGATGGTCAGCTATGAGTCTCATCGGCAAGGAGAGAGAGAAGAAGAAGGTCGGGTGGCCGTATATTAGGGATCAGGCTGAAGGAAAGGTGACTAGTTCAAATCCACCAGCTGCTCTTCAGGAGAAAGGCGGGCAGTCTTCTTCCACAAGGATGTCCAGCCCCCGAAACCCAGTGGGGGGATCACCACGAGCCACAGTGGTTCCGGGACAGTGAGCCTAATGCGGAGCCTGGTGATTTTGTGTGCGGCCTGCGGGGCTGCTAACCCAAAGGTCGTCAGTTTGAGGGCACCAGCTGCTTCTTGGGAGACAGATGCACTCTCTCCTCTGTACAGATTTATCGACTCAGGAGGCGGATCGCAGGTCTCGAATCGCAAGCTGGAATCGCCGGGACAACCATGGGTTCTGGTTTGAGTTTTTAATAACAAAGTCAAGGTGCCCTGATTAAAACATTCCACTGCTAGGTGAGCTCTGGTGGCCTAGTGGCAGGAAACTGTACTGCAATCCCAGAGATGCGCGGTTCAAATCCACCAGATGCTCTGCTGAAGAGGGAGGAACAATCGCCTCCTGTACCAGTCAGATCCAATTTGACGGTACACACATAAAATAAATTAATTAATTAATTAAAAAACAAACAAACAAAAATTCCACTACTAACAGAGCTCTACAATGGGGAGAAATTATTATTATTGCACAGTCCACCAGCTCCCTCGTCTCTGGTGGGGTAAGCTCTTACCCCTTCAGTAAAAGTGTCTCCCAAAGCTGACATATCACCACCCTTGATGCAGAGCCATGGCTGACCTCTTCCTGACTGCTCCCCAGGGTAAGTGGCTCGGTGCTCAACAGCAGAGGTGTGGGGTGATCCTGGCTGTTCTACCTAAGGCAGACTTCATGGTTATCGACAACCTGCTTCCTAGTCCTCCTCGCTCACAATGGTTGCTTCAGGCAAGACCTTGAACTACCTTGACAGTACATCAGGGCTCTGTTTCTGGAGGCATGAGAAGCAGGTGAAACAAGGCTGGCAAGAAGCGAGTGTGGGGCAGTGGCATGAAAAGGCGACCTCGTGGGATGGGGTGGCAGGTCAGAGACTGTCCCACCTCCACACCCGCACCCCCACTGCCATGGGGTCAGCTGCCACCTCCTGTGTGCAGAGGAGGACACTGCGCCCGAACGTCTTCCACACGGTGACCTTCTAGCAGCCCAGCCCTAAGCCTTTCAGCTGAGGTTGCAGGTCGAATGATGCAATTTTGCATGTTCAGTGATTTACTCACAGCAAATACTTAAAACAAACAAACAGACAAACAAAAAACCACCCCACTCACAAAAGGTGACTTTACACATGGACTTCGCCTGGTGAACTGCACAGAGACCAGATTGACTTACGTCGGTGGAAAGAATCCTTGACGAAGTTCAATATTAGCAGTCAAAACCAGGCCAGATGCTGACTGTGGAAGTTCATGTGCATCATGTGCAAGTTCAAACTAAGGCTGAAGAAAATGAAAACAAGCCCATGAGAACCAAAATATGATCTTGAGTCTATCACACTTGAACTTAAAAGCCATCTCAAGAACAGGTTTGAGGTACTGAACACCAGTGATCAAAGACTAGAAGAGCTGAGGGATGACATCAAGGACATTATCCGTGAAGAGAAGAAAAGACAGAGAAAAGGAAGCTCTGGTGGTCTAGTGGCAAGAAGCTGCACTGCAATCCTGAAGGTGCATGATTCAAATCCACTTGGTGCTCTGCTGGAGAAGGAGGGGCAATCTCCTCCTGTGCCAGTCAGATCCTACTCAATGGTACACAACAAGAAAAAAGGAAGGAAGGAAGGAAGGAAGGAAGGAAGGAAGGAAGGAAGGAAGGAAGGAAGGAAGGAAGGACAGAGGAAACGTATGACAAAAATCTGGAACAAGGGGTGTGTTGCAGGGTGGACTAGGAGAGGGGAGCTAAGGGGAGGGAAAGAAAATGTGCAATGATGAATTAAAAATAAATTTTATAAAAACAAAAAGACAGAGGAGAAAAAAAAACCAAAAATGGGTATCAGAAGGCACTATTAAAATTGTCTTTGAGTGCTCAGAAACCAAAACAAAGGAAGAGATGCCAACGTAAGAGCTGAACAGAAGATTTCAAAGGGCAGCTTGAGAAGACAAAGCAAAATATTGTAACGAAATGTACAAAGAGCTGGAGTCAGACAATAAAAAGAGAACT